GAATGCGCGCAGTATGCCACTGACTCGAAAATCTTCGATCTCCCCCTCTCTCTCTCTGGTTTCTATTCGGATCTCTTCTTCATTTCTTTAAGCTTTTGCCTTCTTTCGCTGGATGAACACCGAATTCATGGAAGGTGGAACTTAATTCTTCCCTGCTTTCTCTTTCAGGTACCAGCTGAAACTCCAGCAAAATCTCATGTACCTCGCTGCCATAGCTGACGCTCAGCCACAACCACCTCTTACAGCTGCTCAGGTACCTTTGACGTAAACTGCGAGAAGAAGAAATAGTTTAGTGTGGATGCTTAAGAAAAATTCTCTTTTTTTTTTAGGTTCCTCCCGGGAGTATGATGCAACCGGGGCAGCACTACATGCAGCAGCAGCAGCAGCAGCAGCAGCAACAACATATGATGCAGCAGTCGATGCTCGGGCAGCGAAATCCAATGCAGTACATGCAAGCGCAAGGCCCGATGCATCCCGCCGCTGCTGCCGCCGCCGCCGCGGCTGCACAGCAGCAAGCCATGGCCGTCCACGCAGGGATGGTCTCAGGAGCTCACAACGGACTACACATGCTCGGGGAGGCTGGCGTTGGCGGCAATGGCCCGGCGGGTGCCGGGAGCTTTGCGGACTTTGGGAGAGCAAATGCCAGCGCTGGAGGTGGCGGGGATGGCCTCCAGACGAGCATCGGGCTCGGACAGGACATGAGGAGCGGCGCTCCCGGGAACCGGGAGATGGGCGGCGGCGGCGGTGGTGGCGGCGGAGGTGGCGGCGGCGGAGATGGCGGTGCTTCCGGAGTTCAAGGAGGAGAAGATACCGAGCCATCTTACTTGAAAGCTTCCGAGGAGGACGGGAACTAACGGGAAGAGAGCGCCAGAAGGGAACACTCCAGATCGCTGAGATGGACAACACAGCTACAAGCCAGGCTCGTTTTTCTTTCACTTGTTTCTCGATTCTTTTTCCTGGGATGGATGGTCTCCTGCCGAGAGCTTTTCACGGGCAAAGTTCCAGCGGCAAGAGCAGGGAGGCTTTCCAGTGCTAACTCTCTTTCGTCTTTCTTTCTTCTCCTTTTCCCCTTTTGCATAGATCAAGTGATGGTATCTTTAGTTCCGCAAAGTTCCATCTTTGTCTGTAAGCTCCCACTTTGTTTGTACTAATGTAATCAAATCCTTTTCGTCGTTTCTTTAATGAGCTCGACCGCTTTTGCTCTCACTCTCGCTCGATCGATCGATCGATCGAGGAACTCCACGACAAAGGGAATGTCTCTCGAGCGAGAGGGACAGCAAGCCGGAGGAGAGAAAAGCCGGTGCATGGTTCCAATCATTGGTTTAATCTATTGTGGTTAGGCACATGGCAGTGTTGGAATTATTTCCAGATTTAATCGCTTGAGGGCTCGCCCGCGTGGCTGGCGTCAACTTTTGCATCACCCGGGGCCGGGGGAGCAATTAACTATGCTAAATGGCATGCACGTTAATTAAAACCTGAACGATATGGTTTCCATTCCAATGGGTTTTGACGTTGGCGAATTTAAAACGACCGCGGCAAGTGCCACGCTGGCAGGGTGGACACGCGGGCGATGCCCATTTGCTGTCGTGACGGCCGTTTCCAGGTGGCGGGGGCGTGTTACCTTTAACAGGCGGTGAGATTTTGTCTTTGACTGCCACTAGCACATAAAAAACCAGAGTAAGTCCGATATAGAAACTTTCTTGCTGGAAGCTCTAGGGCTTAATGCCGCCGACAGCGCATTTCTCTCTTCCCAGGCCGCGGTGTGAGAAGCTGCGATAGATTGGAGGAGGGAGATTTCGCTCGCGATTTTCTTCTCTGAATCGATCACTCTCTTCGCCGGAATCAATCTCTCTTTCTTGGCGATTTCCGCCGATCGACTCGATTTCGTTCTTGCTCTCTTGACATTCCATGGACAGAGTGAAGCAAATGGTGAGGCGATGGCAGAAGTTTTCATGCGCGGGGAGTTTCTCGAGCGCGCCGGCGATGGAGTCAGAATGGAGGAAAGGAGGCGGCGAGGGCGACGCGGCGGCGCTGCTGCCCGAGGGAGGAGCGCTCACAGTGTACGTTGGGAGGGAGAGGCGGAGGTATGTTCTTGGCGACGAATACGTGAATCATCCTCTCTTCAAGTCCCTCCTCGCCAGGAAATCCGCGCGCGAGGCCCTGGATCGCGGCTCGTCGCCGGGGAATCCCCCGGATTTCTCCTCCAGCGCCGCCGCGCTCGAGCAAGAGATGTGCATTCCCTGCGAGGTCGTGCTGTTTGAGCATTTGCTGTGGATTCTCAGCAGCGACGACGCCGCGGAGATCAGGGACTCGGCGGAGGAGCTTGTGGATTTCTACGCGTGGGCATGATCATCGCCCCCTGGAAAGTCACTTCGGCCCATTTGTTCTTGGCAAGGAGAAAGGAGAATATTCCTCCCGCAAATCCACATTCCTGGAATATGCTTGTAACAAAGCATCTGTTGAATATTCTATTGGAGTATGAACATTCGTGGAATATGCTTGTGATTTGACTAGCAAAACCCTAAAGTATCTTCGGTTCTGTACAAAGAAGAATGTGGTCTACCACGATCGAGATCCGCCACTCTTTGAGAAGTAGATCGATCATTCCCCACTCAAGAAATCAAAAAAAATATCTAGAAAGCCCTGTGTTTGTGCTGTTCCACCTTGCCAATCAAACGGATTGTTCTTTCCTCCCCGCGGACTCTGTGGATGGATCAGAAGGATTTTCTCCCCAAATCCTTGAGATCGCTGTCCTTGTTCTTGACGAGCAGCAGCATCTGCTCGAACTGGCGGGTGTCGCAAGCGAATTTGAGGCCGCCGCTGTGCTTGAACCCAAACTCGGACGCGGATTCCTCGAGCAGCGGGCGGAACACGGGATGATTCAGGAGATGCGCTCGGATGATGTAGCGCTGCCTCTCCTCGCCCACGTACACCGCCAAGCAGCCCTTCGGGACGTCGCTGGAGATCCGGGCGCTGCTGCTGCCGCCGGAGCTGACGCTTCTTCTCGGAGGATCTAGCTTGCAATACACGGCTTTGCGCTCCACGACGTTGGAAGTGGAGCAGCCCATGAGATTGAAGTGGAAGCCCAGATGGTGCTGGTGCTGCTCGTGCTGGGATCCCATCTTCTTGGCCTTGCTCACCACCAGGTTGTGGATGTTGTTGCTGCTGCTGTGGATCATACTTTCTCTGGAACGGGAAATGCTCTCCCCTCTTTTTATTTGCGGAGATATGTGGGATTTGTGGCGAATTCCTGGAGATAAATGACAGATCTTTGGTTCAGCGTCCGCCTCGTGTGTGACGAAGAAAGCGCGCCAAGACAGATTTGCAAGATCGAAAATGGGGCCTCTGTGTAAGAACGCAAGACAAGAGCTAGAAGATGACCTCCCTTATATCACACACACTAAGAGATCATGAGAAACGAGAGATTAGACAAATCTTTGTGAGGATTTGGAGAGCGCTCTAGAGAAATTACCCCTTTTTTGGGGGAATTTGACTAGGCAGCAGACATATCTACATGCCCCACTCTTTCTCTCCCTTTCTTTTGTTTTGCTTTACCGCCACCTTCGCTAACACTTGAGCGCAAGCGCCAGCCAACGTCTCCTCGTTTAAAATGTAAAATGTACCTAAAGCGGCCTTTGTGTAAAGTTTGTGAAGAAATTTATTCTACCCCACACTTCACGAGAGGCCCACACAACACTCTTTCCCCCAAATGGCTTGAAGCTTTGCTGTAAATTATGACCGTCATCGTGGAGACCACTGAACTACCACCCAAGAACAAAATGAAAAGAAAATTGCCCAATTGCAAGTGTTTGTGCTTGAATTCTGAAAAATTCTTGCATGCGAAGGTACGGAGAGAGTACCCGCAAGTGCACCTTGACGGATGTGTATGTAGAACAGTCTCCATACAGTACATACACGTATCCTACGTTGTAGACTTGGACCCACGGGAAAAGATTCCAAACACCAGGTCGCACGGATTTGTCCTTCTGTACATTTTGTTTTTTTTTTGGAGGTCGAACCTTGAAATCAAGACTCAGTTGTTTCGTCGTTTCCACAATTTTCATTGTTTTTGCGTGGTTCCCGTCAGTTGTCCACTATCACGGAATATACCTAGACGAAATCTGATTGATTTTGGTTGACTTGGCTCTGACAGTTTTTTTCCAAGAATTGGGAGGCTGAGTACTAATTTAGCTTGCTCTTGATTAATCTGTGGACGGGAAGGACGACAGGTAGCTGAGAATATCTAAGTTATAAGTCCAACAGGGTGGACTTTCAGATTCTGTGAACCCTCGCTACACCAGCTATGGCTCCGGAGCTCCTCAAGCAAGGTAAAATTAGGAAGCAATATCTCAAATGGAGCAATGTGGTGACTGGGATTGTGTGAAAGGTCTTGTAATTGAAGGGACTCAGTTTCCTCCAGGTTTGACATCTCCGGTTTCACAGAAAAGCCTCTTCCTCGCTGGAGCTGGTAAATTTCCTGCCATGTTTCTTGTCCAGAGCTATTGATTGTAATGCCAGTGTCTTTCAGGTGTCCGGAACATACAGATAAATCCCCAAGTGACCATCACTGTCACAGTTTTGGGATTTTACTTCGAGGACGGCATCTTGAAACATCTTTCCGGGAAATGGTCGGGCAAATCTGGCTCGGAGCTGGAGAAGGAGGACGATTTCTTCACGGATATCATCAATGGTATGTATGACACTGTTGCAATCCAATCCAAGGTTTTGATCTACTCTTTCTTACGCTAGCTCCATCCGAGAAAATCTTTAGCGTGACGATGCTCAAGCCTCTTCCTGGCACCGACTTCTCAAAGAAAGTCATGGAGAACACAAAGCAAGTGCTGGCCGAGTCGAATTCTCTTGGCGAGGACGAGGAGAAGGCAATTGAAGAGTTCTCCAAACTTTTCGAGGACCAGGCCCTCAAGCCAGGAATGGGGCCGTTTTACGTGTCTTCCTCCTCCGGCCTTGGAGTCGGCTTTACGGACCCAGACGAGCCATCCAACTTAAAAATCTCGTCTTCGATAGGAAACGTGAAGTTTGCAAACGCTCTCCTGAGCACCATGATCGGGAAGAACCCGGTGTCTCCAGCTTCGAAAGCTTGTATCGCGCAACGCCTCTCAGCGCTACTGTAATCGAACGTTTCGAGAGTTTACCATCTCTTTGTGTAGTAAGATCAAACGAATACCTCACGGGATTAACGTTGACGTATGTTCTTCGTGATCTTAAATTTGGACCACTGCTCATTCCTTGGAACAAAATCCGGCCTCACCACCAATCCCTCTCGTCAATCCTGACGTAAATCCCCTCCACGGCTCCATCCCTGTCCGCCGAGTTGCAAGACATCAGCAGCTTCATCCACTTGGCCTTGCTCTTGACCAGCATCCCATCAACCATGAAGATCCCGGGAACTTTTTCTATCGACTCCTCCTCAGCTCGTTCGCTTGCTTGATCCCAGCGTTAAACCTCTCCCGGCTGTAAAATCTCTCCTTTTCAACGTCCAGGATGTCAAATGCGATGAAGTAGTCCGGTATCCTAGTAATGGATCGAGTGAATGGCCACCATCCACTCGCCATAGAGTATCATCTTTCCCGGCTCGTCCCCCAGCAAGCGAAACAGCCTTTCGTTGTGCTCAGTAATCCACCGGTCCAAAACTTCGTACTCGAGGATATGAAGTGAGAGCGGTTCTGTGTGGGCGTCGTAACCCAAGCTAAAGGCCATGTTTGCTCCATCGATCTTCGCCTCAAAGCCGTCGTCATCTCCAGTGCGGTGCTCAAGTCCGCCACCAAGTCGTCCGGTGTGCCGCTCTTTCCCCCGGTGTCAAACCCGTGGAAACTTGATCATCCTTGTTCCGCTCGAGTATTGCAGCGATGTGGACACCACGACCTCCGGCTCGGCTTCCGCTATTTTCTTGTCCTTCTGTTTTTCTTCTCCAGTTGGGATCGATGCTTTCTTTAGCTTGTGTCGATGTGATTTTCTCTTTAGTTTATTTTTGAGTGATCTTCTCAGCTGTAGCAGCAGCAGCAGCTCCTTTCTTCGTCCATCTTTCCACCTAAGGGCTCAAGCCATACTGGTAAGCCCTGGTTTGCCGATATCGCGGTTGGACAAACTTCACCTTCACCTCCATGGAATCCAGGAGTTGCTCCACAAAAGGCTGGTATACCTTTTCACAAAGTCCTCCAGCCACTTAGTTTCCAAGACGCAGCTCAATGGCTTTGGCGGCGTCCTTTGGGATGGAAATGTGTGAGCGTTCATCTTCTCACCGCGCGGTACAGTCGAGAAGCCTTGCAAAAGGGTCTACCATGGCTCACGAAATAGCACGCCAGGACGGTACCGCCGGGCATGGTGATGGAGGAATGGAGCATTTCCGAATTTCCTCCTCTTCCTTTAAGCGCCAAGAAGATGGAGTTTGCAAATTGTTTCCATCCACGTCACTCCACAAGGTGCTATTCGCCGCGGAAGAACTCCTGGGCTCAAACGCTGGCACTTCCCAGCTCCAGCTCCGGAATGCCGACGACTCTCCCATCCTGGTGAAGATGCTACACTCGACTCCATAGCCTGGCATGATTCACTCCACTCAGGAAAGATTTAAGAATGGACTCACCATGGCAGGAAACGAGAGCTTTCACTTCCTGGTCCTGAACTCCGCTAGAACCCTAAACTGGTACCATAACAAACAAGATAGCTCTTTATTGATGGGATAACGTGGGACTGTGGATCAGATCACACTGGTCGGCATCCTCGCGGGAGATTGCAAGAGTTAAAGCATGCATTCCTATTCAGAACGCCTCCGCAAACCACTCGAGTGTACTGGCACACAGCTGGGCAAACTGGAAAAGCCAACGTTATATAAAAATGGAATAAGATCTAATACTAGATCATGTAAGATTGATCGCTCACCTCGCTGGAGGAGCGCCCGCTGTCCAGCAGCTTCAGCTTGCATCGCACCCCCTGATACATGAACAAGAATTAGAAAGAATCTTCACTCAAGCGGAGATTATACCCAAGAGAACCAGCAGCACCACAGCAATTGCAATGACACTTGTTGATTTCATCGCCATTTCCAATCCAAGCACAGAAAGTAACACACTCTGATTTTATAACCGCTGTGATTTGTGACTTTTCTGCAATCAGAAAAGTCAAGCCTCCCAAGTGAGACTAGTCCTTCTTTAACAGTAAGTCGTGGTCATTCTACAAACGATCACGTGCATCTACCATATAAAACTCGAGTATACTGAATTTTTAATTTGCCATGGTTTTTGGTTTAAGCACATATAAATGTCAAGTTTTCTCCAAATAGTGTCAAATACAAATTAAATACACTTACAAAGCCTAATGGACAATGCACAGTAAATTATTATTTTAGTAACATAGCTATTCAAAATTAAAACGTTTAATCTATTATTTGATAGGTATATATTCTTATTAATGTTGATATCTGTATGATCCAGATTTAATTTTAAATTTAATAGCTATGATTATTTTGAAAAATATAATTTATTTTGTGAGGTCCAATTGTACAACTATAATGCCACATATTATTATTAGTATAGTAGGATTTTGGTAGCCATTATATTGGTTTCAATCCACTCTTGCATATAAGCTAAGGTTTTTGGGTTAATCAAATATATGTATTTCTGTATTCTATGCATTGAAAATTTTGATTCTCCCTCAAGGAGTGCTTTGATTTGTGCTTTTAATTTAGATTTAACTTATCATCTAGATCTCTTTTATTCTTCTAATTTTTTCCATTTCTTCTCATTTACTTTTCTTCTTTTCATTCATTTTCATATTAGAGAAATAGCCTCTTCTTCTTTTGACTTTGGAGTAGTAAGTAGTATAATTGCTCAATGCTATATGGTTGTAGTTGAACAATCAAACTTAGTTGATAGTGGCATTCACAACATGTGTATATAACTTCTTTTGCTCTTGCAAGCAAATTTTGTGTCTTGCCGAAGTTCTTCTATATGAATCTTAGGGATGATATATATTATTGGTTTAATCACTTTATAGTGATTGCCACCTATCATTCTTGGGATATTGCCTAATGTCTACACAAGTTTCCCATATATCTTAAAAGGATACCATTTCAATGGTATAATGGTTTAAGTGTAACTACTAGTATGGATTACAACTTTCTTCTAAACATCTTAAATGTGCATTTAAACATGTTGACAATTGTGATAATATATTCTAGCAATTCCATTGTCTCTATTAAGGGTTGTCTGACTTCATTATGCAATTTGATGTTCACTTTTAAAGCCTTTTTCTTTGTGTGGAGCAAAATATATTAGAGCAGATTAAATTAGGAATATTGTGGTTAACGCTTTATCAACATCTTGTGGGACTAAATGCACTTGCCCCAACCACCTTTGATGACGCTTTTCAACTAACTATAAAGAACAACTCAAAAAATGATCTATGATTTAAATATAAAGGGAAAGGGCCCATGAATAAAATTACACCCCTTTTTCAATTAGTTAAGGATATTAAAATATTTATGGTTAAGCATCTTTGGGTTCAAATAGTACTAAGCTAGATGACTTCCCGAAAAATCCAAATTAAAGAGTTTATATTTGGTATTAGAAGGGTTTTAAATTTGACTTTGTTGATTACTTAAATCACACTATATATTGTGATTGATATTAATAGGTTTAGTTTGCCTCTAGCTGGGTGTTAAAAGAGTAGGGCTCTTAGGGAAAGCTATAGCTCTTAGCTTCCATTCACGAGAGCGTGAACTTACAAGAAAGTGTAATAGATCTTAAACAGCCAAAGTTAATGACTCGAGAAAGAATCCATAATATTTAAATATAAAAGAAAAAGGCCTATGAACAAGAGTGCACCCCCTTTTCCAATCAGTTAAAGGTTTTGTGATATTCAGGATTAAACATCTTTGGGTTTGAATAATACTTTTCATTTCATATGAAAGATAATTTTGTTCCAATGGGTTATTGCCCGTATTAAAGAACAAAAGCAAGGAAGTGGTTATGGTTAATATCATGTTGGTGCTACTATGGTGGAAGGTATTAATATAAAAATTCTTTAAGGAAATAAGAATTGTACAAGTAATGGGGAGTTTTTCTATGATTCTGTATCAACTATTGTTTGTTAAATAATGTGATGATCCCAAATATGTATCTACTTTCTTATACTATTAATCTTCTAGAATTGTTTAGGGTGCAGTCATTAATTTAATAAATTAGACTTTACTTCAGGATATTGACAAATGCTAATGGCTAAAGAGGATATTCCTAATATTACTCCTTGTACACTATTTGGTTTTTATAAATTTTTGGTAATGCCATTTGGTTTGAATAATGCTCTAGTTACTTTTCAATAGATAATGAATAAAATTCTTTATGATATGCCCAAGGTGACTATTAACTTTATTAATGATCTTTGATCCACTCAAAGGGGACATAGGAAGAGCATATTCATGATGTTTGCAAAGTGTTGGATTGATTGCAAAAAGTTGGTTGGAAACTTAAAGCAATCAAAATGCATAATTGGATTTAAGGACATGAGTTATCTTGGGTATTGTATTTTTTATAAAGGTTTACAAGTTGATCATAACAAATTTATGGCTATTTTGAAATTCCTTACTTTAAAGTATGTGAATGATGTGCAACACTTACTCAATAGGTGTAATATCTTGGTTGTTTTATTAATTATTTTTTGATTGTACTACATTATTATAAATTTTGTTGAATTTGTTAATATCATTTTTCATTTAGTCTGAGAATTAAGAACAAAAATTTGTGGATCTCAAAGAGTTATTCAAGAACCTTTTAGTTTTAGCATATGTTAATTATACTCAACCTTTCATTTTGTGCATAAATTCTTTTAATATTGGTCTTGGGGTGTGCTAATGCAAGAAATCATAAATATATTTGTTTGGCTTCATCTTATTACATACATTAATTATACATTACAACTAGTAGAGGTGAACTACTCACAACAAAGAAAAAGTGTAGTTTAAGGTTTTAAAAAGTTTTATGTGTACTTGCATAGTTCTTAGATATTACTAAAAGGTGTGGTTACTTCATTATTGAAACAAATAAATTTTATTAATTATACTGTTTAGTGGTTGAAGTTTCAAATATATAATTTTGTGGTTGTTCACCACCCAAGGAGTTTTATAATTGATGTTGACACCCTTTCTTGATCTTCTCTATCTTTTTTACTCTATTTTCATATTCCTAATAAATTTGTTATTCTAGCATTAATGGATTTTCTAAATGAGGATTCCATAATATTAGTGATTGTTGTACTTAATGTTTAATGTCTACAAAGTGTGAAGCAAGATTTACCTTCTTTTATCAAGGTTCATGAGGCTCAAAAAGTTAAATTATATATCCAAAGGCTTTGTGCTGAGCTTACCAATCTTGCATCACTTATAAATGACTTATCATACTATTATTTATATTTTCAATATCACTTCAAGGCAGACTTTCTTTACTTTATCAAGATTAACCTTGATGAATAGAAGAATAAAAATAAGAGAGCTATGATAAACATAAAGAAAGCATGGAATATAGATTAAAAGCACCACTAAAAATAGGCATATAAGGCATATGAAAGCCGTAAATGTTTCTTTGTCAAATTGCTAATTTACTTTATTTATTTAACAAACTTTTACGTTAGTCATAGCTAAATTCCCTTGCTAAAGTCCACTCATATTATATCAAATCCTACTTATTTTTACTTTACTTCAACAATTGCACAAATAATGAAATGTTATCCCCCTCTTCATAGATTCCCAACTTTCTTCTCCAATCCCTCTCCTTGGGATAAATTAGATTTAAAGTTCGGTTATACTCCTTACAAGTACAAACAACTAAACACACTAAGCTTCCAAACTTTTAACATCCTTTAATATAACAAGATTTATTCATAAAACCCTTTAATTAAATACATCTTCTAATTTGGGGCCTCAAGGGAAAATAATGGTTTAATAGTCCAATATAAGTATCTTAATTTCCCACCTCTATCCCAAAGGCAAGGTATAAGCCCCTTAAAAAGGGTGAAGATCAATAAACTTTATAGTACTCATTATTGATTTTTTTTTCTGGGAGTGGGAGTTGCTTTTAAATATGTCTTTGAGGGGCCTCTTTAGCATCTCTCAAACTAATGCTCACTCCTATCTAAGGCTACTAACCTGACCCAACATAGTTCAGAAACACTACTAAAAAATTCTTTCAAGACTAGGTCTTTAGCTTCACTCTCTTTATCATACTTTTGGAACCCCCTATACCCAACCCCCTGGGAAATAAACATTTTATGCTTTCACTCCATGACTTGTATTAGTATTTGTACTTAGTATTGGACTCAATTTTGATTTAAACTCTTTATCATTTTAATCATAATTTTAAGATTCTTTAGCCTAAAACATTTGTAGGATTAATTAAGTTTTTTCAATATGGGTATTAAACTTCTTTTATGAGTGGTGAAATTATAAGGAAAAAAATCCCTAAGCTTGTTAACCATGGGTCTGAAGCATCCCCAATAGTGTGCCTAAGTCAAGCTTCCTAATTAAAAACCCATGACAACGAAATTTAAATGTCTCTATACCTTCCACTTCACCTCACTCTAGTATCCCTTAGATACTAGGGAGTTGGGACTTGAAACCAACTTTTGCAAAATATGTTTATAGATTTGACATCCCTTTATGGGATCGAACATAACTTTTTACACCTGGTCAACTTAACTAATGTAAGGACTCTGATCTCTATCATACTCCTTGCATTGAATGAACAAGACAAATGAGGAATCAAAAGGAATTGATAGCTAGCAAGTAGGGAATGGAATAAGAGGGATGAAGAGAGAGAAAGAAAGAGTATAGAGAAAATAATAACCTTCCCTAAGCTTGTGTCATCCCTCCTTATATCTAGTGTGAGTATTAAGCTTTTAACAAGTCATCCCTCCTTAAAAACTCTAGTCCTCCAAAGGTTTTAAAGTTGTTCATTTGTCACCCAAGTACATTTGTTATCATCAAAGCCTTCCCAGTATATCCTATGATGACAAAGAGCCTAGTTACAAAGCTTTTACTTCTACATTTCAATGACCCTTTCTTGCCACATGAGAATTTATCTATCCTTGCTTACCAGCTGATTTGGAATTTGGATTAAATGCAGCTGCCCTGAGGTCAGCCACATGGAAAATGTCATAAAGCCTTGTTCCTAGCGGGAGTTTGACACAATAAGCCAACTCATTAAATGCCTCAACTACCTATAATAGACCAAATAATTGAGGCTGAAATTTCTCCTCCCCAAGGTATATCTCTCGAGCTTGAACTTTATGTAGACATAGTCCCTAATTGAGAATTGTTTAGATGAGTGATGTTGATTATAGAAAAATTGCATAGACACTTGAGCAGATTCCAACCTTTACTTTGTTAATTGCTAATTGCTAGATTTCATGTATTCCTTACAAATGTTCCTCAACATCTAGAGGTAGTGAGCCATCCATTACCAGAGCTAGCAAAGAGAACTACTGTCTATATAGTTTTTGGAACGAAGATATTCCCAAGGACATATATTGTGTAGAATTATAAGTGAATTCTTCAAACAATAGCCATTTCACTTAGCTGCCTAGCTTGTCTAAAGTGTCTCTTGAGGAAGGTTTGTAGCCCTTCATACCGGGAAACCACTCTTGCAGCAACCACAGTGAGTTGAATCCAACCATTCTCTAACAAATCAATATGGTGCCAAACTTGGACTCCATAAAGCTAGACCTTTCCAAAATCTAATGGTAACAGGTTTGGTAGAGGGTTGCAGGCTTAGCATACACATGTGGATCTTTGTGAAAGCAAGTGAAACACTTTTGTGAATATGAAACTTTGCTTATAAACGAAGTTATAGATAAGTTTTTCCATGCATGCCCATAACTTTTTTTGCATGCCATATATAAAAATCCAATCCCACATCATTAGGGAGTCCAACTCAGACATTTGCCACATAAGTATAGTCACATATTTTAGGGCTTTTAGGCCACACAATACAGAACCATGATTTATGTGTATTCACAATACACTCTTGATTAGCAATTGGTATTAGCTCAACACAATGTCATAAATGAGATTGATTAGGAAACATTTTTGCTGTGTGGGAGCTTGTTTTGTGCAAGGCTTTGTCATAAAGAGTGTCCACTTCCTTATAGGGGGCCTCTAGCTTCTTATGTAGAGTGTCACTTGAGACCTAGATGTAGGGTGCCTCCACCACCATATATGGAGCTTGGTCAGTACCACCTCATCCACTTTGGAGGCTCTTCACATGATGGGTCCTTGTGTTGAGCCTCATTATTTGTTGCATCAATTGTCACAAATGTGATTGTGGGTATCAAAAGTTACTTATCAACTAATCCTTTTAAATATTCTTTTTTTACTACCACGACGGCAGGAGGTCCATATTGTTAGACCCTTTATCAATCTTTGCCTAAGCTAGTTGAAAAACTAGTCATCACATATGCACTTAGACGGAAAGGGCTTTAAAGAAGGAAATCCTAAGTTGCCATTTAGTTAAGTATACTTGACACGGTGATGAGAAACTTATGTTGTTGACTTGCACTTGCTAGTGTTGAGAACCCCTGTGATATTAAGTTTGGTCCCTCAATACTCACTAAATCATAGCTTACCGTGTCTACCAAACACTCTTGCTATCATGCCCTTGCATTGGTCATGTTCAATCCCAATTGCTATTTATGGAAAGTGTTTAGAGTTGCTAATTTAGTATATCTACGAAATGTAGAGATTGTCTTGAATACAATGGTGTTAGTCATGTGTCCAAATTTGCAATCTAGTGTTATTCTATATTTAGTAAGTTTCAAACTTGTCCTAGAGAGTAACTTTTGGTATTAAAGGTGGATAAGGGTGAAAGCCCAAAGCATGTGTTCCTCAAGGGGAAAGGGGGGGGGAGGTGTGGTGTTTCAAATGTATAGTAAGGATAGTGAGTAGCTCAAGCATGGCTAACCAACCTATAGTTTAGCTCCCACTTGCGTGCTTATCTTTGTTTTGCATCTGACTTAGGTCTAAAGTTCCACACCATGCTAACTAGTGAACTACCCATATCCTTTTGTTAAGCTACCAGTATGCTAAAATAGTGCTAAACTCTATTTGGCTCTATTTTACATACTGCTCCTGGCATTAGGATGCTGTAAACAACCACAGAGAACGACTTAAGAGACGGTCTATAGGGTTCAAATATAGAAAAAAAGGGCCCATGAATAAGAGTGCACCCCCTTTTCCAATCGGTTAAGGGTGTCCTTGGGTTTAAATACTATATATTTACTAAACTCAATCCTTTAATGAAACATTACACTTTTAGTAGCTCATTATAGGTGTCCTGAGACTAAGGCAAAGATCACAGAATTTACGGGCATACGCATCCAAAGATAAAGCCCCTGCTGAATCTCTAACAGCTGGTTCACGAGATCAACCTTTTCAAACTTCTTGACAAATGAAGCATAAAAAACCTTTGTCAAATCAATCCAAGAAGTCGACTTTGGATTAACTTTGATGTAGTTCTTCCACCACGAATAAGCATGGCCCATAAGCTTCGTCACAAAAAAATTTATCTTCAACTTATCCTTACAAGGATTGTAAGACCAACAAATTTCCCACAATTCCAACCAAAAATCAACCTCTTGACTATCACAAATATTTAGTGATGATTTCCATTCCACGATACCATAATCCTTGGCATGCTTGACATACTAATAGTAATCACGAACATGAGATCGATTTAACCCTTGAGGTCTATGTGAAGCAAGAAATCCTTAATGAGATTGATGGAATCCTTAACTTCCTTTATGTCACTCTGAACCTCAAAAATCTAGTATCCTTGCCACATAACGACATCATCAAGAGTCTCTTCTACATTGTTATGGCCATCATCACTAATGCCATACTCCTCATCAAGATCAATATCTTGCTCACCCGCCATCCCCAAAAGAACATGTTGCTCTGATACCAATGAAATGAACAAAAGATTGAACCCTTGGCCAACCTCCCAACCCATCCCACAGGCCATGAAATATTCTTAAAATATTCTCTGGGTGTCAAAGAGGGCTAGGTGCTAAGTATTCCTAAGGCACTATGCTGCAAAGGAGAGGGAGAGAGCCATTAGGGTTCTGGTAGGACTGAGGTATTCCCTAATCCATCCTTGCTATGCTTTGAATAGATGTTTCCTGAGAGGGAGATCCAGCAGCCATGGGATGATCCAAGAGGCAGAGAGTCATGGATTCCAGAGAGGCAGAACTAAAGGGTTTGAGAGGGAGATAGATTTCCTGTCATGGACATGAGAGTGCTTAGATGCAAAGGGAGAGTGATCTCATATTCATGTCATTGACATTGAGAGGGAGTGTCAGAGATATACAATCTCCATGACATGAGAGTCTATGTGACATGAGTGCCACATCACTGATCCAGATGTAGGATAGTCACGACTATTGATCATGTATATGCATTATGATATATCAAAGTGAGAGTCATCCACCATTGTTTTGCTTCTGTGTCTTTCATATTTCTTCTTTGTTTGTTTGGACCTTATGGAGAAGATCCTTGATAAATAGAAAGGGTGCTATTATAATCCAAGTGTGCATATGAAGAACAATTTGATACACTTACATATGCAAATAGTCAATGTTATGCATGTGGGGACCTTCGATCACCAGACTACAAAATTAACATTCAAGCTTATGTTACTCACGAGAGAACCAAGAAGCTAAACAATGGGGTCTACATCAATGAAAATCTAGGTATTGTCAAGTTTGCTGGAAGAAACAGTAGCATCAGTGTGTCCCAAGCCTTCGTCAATACAAGCCATCAGTAAGATCAAGAAGCAAGTTAGAGGCATCTTGAGAACTCGGGGCTACAAACTATGTGCTGCAATGATCTTGGTGTCTTTCTTTGGTTATATGCTTCTTGCGGGAGTTATCCATCGCTATTACATCTTTCCACAAAACCACAACACTTACAAAGCTTTCTCCAAAGGGTTTCATCTCGCTCATGGAATAAGTTGCTGGTATTTTTCCAGCGTAAGTCGCACTCCATTTTACAAACCAAATATTGATCGACAATATAAAATCCTGCAAGCAAGATCACACATTACAGTTCAAAATTGAGAGGATGAAAGTATTTGAGTTTGTGAGCTTGACAAAGTACTCCCACACTTTCCTGCATTGCAAACAAACACTCCCACATTCCTTCCTTCCTTTGGAATGCTCCGGAATAATCTCTACATAAATCACCGGTTATAGGCCTAATTTCTCTAAGACTGATCAACTCACCTTGAATCTCTGGATGCTTTCCGTACTGAATGCTGGTTGGTTTGAGGCCAAATTCAGCTGAAATGGAACCCACATATGGCGCATCTACAAGGTCTTTTCCTTTCCACCAGGTCCAAGTGAGAATCCGTGTTCCAGCAAAGAACACAACTGAATAAAGTTACCTTTCGTGACAGGACACAAACACTGCCTTTTATAATCCTTGACTTTCTTACAACAGTTGTTTGAGGTATCCGTTTTCATGGCACCACAATGATTAACATTTTGAGTTATTTTCAGATGAGCCAAGGCATTGTTAGTTGTACTAGTTGATCAGCAGAAGATTTACATAATGCCAGAACTGTAGTACTTCGAGTGCTAGTACTTTGAAATATGAATTTGCTAGTTCTTGATTATAACAAGGATTTTTAGATGCTGCATTGCATACTAAAGCTGCTGGACGAAGGCTTGACTCCTCAGAGCTTTAAGGGCCGAGGAGAAAGATCGGTTGAAATAAAGCAATGTTTCTTAAGAAAGTTACATTACTTAAATTACTGATTTAAATACTGCTGAATTTCGGGGGATCACGAGGGAACGATATGTCCGATAGGATATTGCATTTCCCACGCTCCAGTCTCATGTAACCTCCTTCTCCCCAGCTCCTACCCCACCAGTTTTTGAGAATCCAATACTCGACCCCATGTTGTGTCCGTCCATAGCCGACTATGAGTACAGGAAGGCTGGCCTTCGAATCAGAGCAGGGGCCTGAATATATGCCCTGCACACGCGCGCAAAGAGTTTGCTATCAAATGCCCACATCCAGGAGACGTAACTTACTCCAGCATATGAATCAAATTCAGAAGCACTACCATCAATTCGAGCAATCACCGGCTGCTTTGACACGACCTCTACCAAGAAACTATCACTCGTTCCCGGCACAGTTCCGATTTGAGACATGGAAACATCATTAGTCTGTAAGGATAAGTTCAAAACGGTCAGTGCGACTTAAAACAACATCATGACATACGAATGGCTTGCAGGAACTTTGAACGCCCGTATACGGGTACTTCGAGTCAGTAGTAATCCCCTGCAGGCGAATGTAGTTGAACGCATGGTAAGGATCTGCAGTACCCTTCTCATTGCATCCGCTGTTGTATCTGTTGCAATCGATCAGTTGCTGTGGTGAGAGCACCACCATCCTTCCGGTTTGTATCGCTTTGAGGCTCTCCACTGCACCTGCTGCTGCAAATGCCCATGACCCACCTGCAAAACTTGTGAGTAAGATATTTTCTTATCAAGTGAGTGACAAACAAAACCTTTGCAGCTTTTGCGAAGATCCACATCCCAGACTCTAGAAACAGCTCCAGATTCCCTCCAGTCGACTGAATTGCTGAAGCTCGCCTCTTGAGACAATGCCTGTAAATTGAACTTGGGGCCCAAGTTTGCATGTTAGCGGGTGCACTGATCAGTACCTGGATCCAGATCAACGACATTGTGAAGAAAAGAAGAAAGGAGAGTTGCAGTGGAGAAAAATATGCCATTTTGATTGTTGTCCGACCTACACAAAAAGTTCTTCCCATTTGTACCACCCACGTCATTTTCATGATATATGTATTTTACTGGAGGCATGCTTCTCTCACTCTTACCTTTTATACTTCATACTTCACGTGGTTTACAATTAGGCTGTCTTTTCGGAGGTTGACAACAGTGGAGAAAAAGACATTTGCGCGTTTCTCACAACGACTCTAGGTTAGCATATAACAAGCTATGTATGTTAATAGACATCCACTGCGTTTCTCATACTCTTACATTTTAAACTATTAAATCCACGTGTAGATGTAGGCTGCTAATAAGTATGAATAAGAGCCCATTTCCATATGCATTGTAATCACTTCATTTTCAAAGTCTAGATTAGAGTTAAATGTAGAAACATCAGGTGTAGAGCACGTGGTTTACAATTAGGATTCATATATAAAAAACAAATCCTTACAAGATTCTATCTATTCACATTTTTTTCATCTAACATTAGATGTTTTACTATTTAAATGGTTGGCATTTGAATATAAGATAACTTTCTTTCACATTGCAATATAAATCCGGCATGCTTCTCTCACTCTTACCTTTTATACTTCATACTTCAGGTGGTTTACAATTAGGCTGTCTTTTCGGAGGTTGACAACAGTGGAGAAAAAGACATTTGCGCGTTTCTCACGACGACTCTAGGTTAGCATATAACAAGCTATGTATGTTAATAGACATCCACTGCGTTTCTCATACTCTTACATTTTAAACTATTAAATCCACGTGTAGATGTAGGCTGCTAATAAGTATGAATAAGAGCCCATTTCCATATGCATTGTAATCACTTCATTTTCAAAGTCTAGATTAGAGTTAAATGTAGAAACATCAGGTGTAGAGCACGTGGTTTACAATTAGGATTCATATATAAAAAACAAATCCTTACAAGATTCTATCTATTCACATTTTTTTCATCTAACATTAGATGTTTTACTATTTAAATGGTTGGCATTTGAATATAAGATAACTTTCTTTCACATTGCAATATAAATCCGGCATGCTTCTCTCACTCTTACCTTTTATACTTCATACTTCAGGTGGTTTACAATTAGGCTGTCTTTTCGGAGGTTGACAACAGTGGAGAAAAAGACATTTGCGCGTTTCTCACGACGACTCTAGGTTAGCATATAACAAGCTATGTATGTTAATAGACATCCACTGCGTTTCTCATACTCTTACATTTTAAACTATTAAATCCACGTGTAGATGTAGGCTGCTAATAAGTATGAATAAGAGCCCATTTCCATATGCATTGTAATCACTTCATTTTCAAAGTCTAGATTAGAGTTAAATGTAGAAACATCAGGTGTAGAGCACGTGGTTTACAATTAGGATTCATATATAAAAAACAAATCCTTACAAGATTCTATCTATTCACATTTTTTTTTCATCTAACATTAGATGTTTTACTATTTAAATGGTTGGCATTTGAATATAAGATAACTTTCTTTCACATTGCAATATAAATCCGCGTACACCAGACTGAGGAGCATGGGACTTAATTTACCTCATTTAGCAATGGCTAAATGGCTACTACTTTTCTTTGTCTTGGTATTGTTCTTCCGATGCATTTTGGGCAATGATTGAATTGTTTCATTGTGATGAAGGTTTTTGGTGCAAACGGAAAAAGATCCCCATTGTATGGTGGAACCGATGGGGAAAATTTCAGTGACGGTCAGTCTCAGGGTATTGTGAGAGTCAAGATCTGGTCTGGGTATATTGTGGATGGGATACAGGTTCAATCAGATCAAGGGGGAGAACATGTTTGGTCTGATCCTCATGGCACTTCAAAGGGGGAAGCCAAAGAGGTAGCTATTTGTAATGCTCATCTTCTCCTAAGATTTCTTTCAGGTGGTTTTAGCTTATCCGGATGAATACATCTACAAGATTTCAGGGCGCACTGGACCAAATCCATGGACTTCTAATGGCTTGAGTAGGCTTTACTTGCACGTCAACAATAGAAGGACCAATGCCCAAACTACCTTTGGCCCATTTGGTACCCACGACTACTCCAATCAGACTACATTTGATTCCCCAGAAGGGACAGTGGTTGGATTTTTTGGTTATGCCTCTTCAACAACATACTTCCGAGGAATTGGCGTCTATTTCCAAGATCCTTGTGACTGTCCAACACCATCACCACCGCCTTCTCCACCTCCACAACCGCTGCCATCACCCCGAAGACCTTGCAAAGGCTATCAATGGAGCACAACTGGAAGTAGTTGTTGTTGCGTGGAACGCGAATCTAAGAAGCACACATGCTGTCAATCATCAACTCGAGAGTGCCCGCCCTTGAGATATGGCGAAGCTCTTCCACCAGCATCCCCAGTACGATATCCGCCACCCAGATT